AAAAATAGTAAATTGTCTGCCTGAGAAAGAAGTCCTCTGCAGTATGGGGCAATGACTCGGCACAAGAATCCAGGGGGGTGCCTTTTGAGCTCTATCTCCAGAGCCCACAAGCCTAGATTCTCCTCACACAGTCCACTCTGCCCTCCCTCTGCTGGAGCCCAAGGTGAGTGGCAGCACGCAAAACTTTGTGTTTTGGCTCTTTAAGAGGGTGCCTACAGTTCCAGCTTTTTCTCCTGGCAGACAGAAACCCCACTGCTTTTCACAGCCAGATGTTATGTGGGCACCTTTCTCAGTTCTGGTGCTGTTGGCTGGGAAGCCCAGCCTGCAGTTTAGGCCCCAGAGTCCTCGTAGGAACCCCCCACAGCTGAGCTATCCCTCCGGACCCTGAGCTGCTGCCTGTGGGAGCCCAGCCAGCCCTCTCGTGCCTCCACACTTCCTACCAGTCTCTATGTGGTTTCCACTTTTTCTCCTTGGTTATGAGGGTGCTCTCCAGCTCAGAATCTTCAGTATTTAGGATGGTTTTTCTGTATTTTAGTTGTAATTCCGGTTTGGTCCTGGGAGATTGTCAGTGTTGCTTCCACTTAGTCCGCCACCATCTTTTGTTTTCTCTTCTTTTTGTTGTCAGCCTCTAGTTAACCTGCTGAACCTAATCCCATCTCTTCTTCACATTCCCAAAATAATCTGGATTGGTCTACTTGAGCACTGATACTCTTTTGGGCAGTATTTTCACACCTGGCAACATACAGGCAGTTGATAGGCTTGTAGAGTGGGTGCCCTTAATTCTGGTGTTTACTAGTGCTTGTTCCACAGTAGCTGTTCTAGCCTGGTTTTCCTTCCTTTATTGGGGCTGTGGAGCAGGATTTCCCCTCAGAAAGTGGCTGTGATGACCTGCCTAGGAAAATACAATGATTATTTAAAGAAATTGGAGGGAATTGGGATAGGTTTTATGGTGGGAGATGGCCTTTGAAATTTCTTAAACTGCAGATAATTATTTTTTCCTTTTCCTTTTTCTTTTAATAAGAAGTTAGTAATTTATGCTACTTCTTGGAATCAATTGAAAATTATTATTGCTTCAAGTAGATACCAGCTGATAGATCAATTTCTCTTTAGATTTTAGGCTTCCATTAAGCTTTGAATTACTGGTAATTCAGTTGGTAAATTATTCTTGATAACTCAAGATTTCACCAATCTTTTAGAGATAACTTGGAATAAAAAAACCTTTTTTTTCCTAAATATAAATCCTATTTAATTCTCCCAACTTTTCACGTTTCATTGTTAAAATTTGTGAACTATTTCTTAAAACTATTTGACCATAGCCAACTAGTATTTAGATAAAGTACCTACTAATACTTATAATATACACTTAATATATTTTTCTAACAAAATTTAACTCTTTGTCTTCTAGGTAATTTATCCTCAACATTCCAAACTTACTGATAAAGAAGTAAGTAAAACTATTGCTTTGTATAATCTACTGTTGTATTTGTTTGTTTTTATTGGGTGTGTGTATCAACATATATAGCTTTTGTTTTCTTTTTCAGAAAACCAATATTTGCTATTTGTCTTTTCCAGATTCAAATTCAGGTAACTATTTTTCATGTGGTGTTTCTGTTGAATTTTATTTATACTAAGAGTACTGATTAAACTGTTAATATGTGAAAATTGATAGAAACAGCATATTAGAATATAAACTCAATTTCAGCCTAACAGGTTAATGATTTAGATTCTTAGCTTTATGATGCCTAGTCATGTCTTGTTGGTTATAGTTGGTTCAATTTTTAAAATAACTATTACAGTGTAATGAAGTAAAACGTCAGGGAGCAATACACTGTTGAAATAGTGAAGAGATTGAAAATCAGCAACATTGGTATGTTTGGGGATGTTTTGATTTGTTTTGTTGTTTGTTTTGTCTGGGGATTTATAATAAGTAGTTTACTTCTAGTTTAGGATTTGAGAGCTTGCCAGGAACACTGTAAAAGCAGTGAGTTTAAAAACAACATGGTGAATCTGGTTATAAATATGACCATCAATTATTTTCAATAATTTATATGAGCTAATATATGTATAGTACTTGGAATAGTGTTTGACGTATAGAAAACACTGTGTGTTTGCTATTATTTTAACTTGGTTTTGCTGGTCTTTTTCAAACTCTCCCTTTGTGTGGTCCTAATTGTTGAAATCTTTCAGGTTACCTCTTGTGTTTCACTTATAAAGCTGAAAAGTGACCAGAGCATTCAACTTCTTAGACCACACACAGTTAGAACTCTATGAAGCAAAGACACTCAAGTTCCCTTTCCTTTGAGGTTTCTTCTAATATTCTGTTAATTTAGTTTAGTTAATCTGGTTTGGGAGATTTGACATTTTTATTTTTTCCCTTTTTTTATAAATGCTTCCGGAAGGTTTTTTTTTTATACATTTGGAACTCAGCCTTCATGACATATGTAAAAAATAAGTGCTATCTTGGTAAAAAATAAAATAAAGCAAAATGATGCCTTTGAGGGATCCCAGTAGGGCATTTGTTCTGACCTGGAATTATTGGAATCTTTTACTATGCTTTGCCTACAAAGTTCACACATGCAGTTCTGAATGTAGTGAATGTTGAATTGGACTTCCAGGACTCAGGGTAAGCTGAGTTGTATGGATTGCAGGATGAGCTGATTATGATTGGAGTTCTAGCAGATTCTACTGCACTTTCTTCTCTTTTAGATAATAGTTGGTTTTCATGGCTTTCTTTCTTTTTCACATCTCTACACAAGCATCAAGTTAATTACATGATATTCAGATAGTTTTTTCATTTCTAGTTTTGTAGTTAGTCTTTCCAAGCGTCATTTTCTTCCTGGAAGTTAAACTCAAGTGTAAATATATGTAAATCAGAATTTGATCAGTACTTCAGGCATTTGAGTGACTTACAGATGTTTTGTAATCCCTTTTTTATAAGTTCTACATCAAATAAAGTGTGGTTTATTTTATTCAAAATATGATTGGTACTTAGAAGTGCCCTCTTAGCAGATGAATATTAATCTAGACAGCAAGAGACTGAGTTTTCTGTGTATTTGAGATCACTCTTCTCAGTTGTGATTATCCAAAGAGTTTGTTTCACTTAAGTGTTTTATTAAATGGAAGTTGGGATTACTTTGCCAACTTTGAAATGGATTTACTTTTTCCTGGAATAGCTTTTATTGTTATGGAAGGAAATCTAGGCACAGTAGAGTAGTCTTTAGGAAAGCCTAGGTTTTGTTTCCGTGGTCCACATATATTTTTTTTAATCCTCACCCGATGATATGTTTTTATAGATTTTAGAGAGAGGGGAAAGGAGAGGGAGGGGGGGAGAGAGAGAGAAACATTGATGTGAGAGAAAAACATCGATTGGTTGCCTCCTGTACGTGCCCCAAATGGGGATTGAACCTGCAACCTTTTGGTGTACGATGCTCCAACCAACTAAGCCACCTGGCCAGGGCTCCATGGTGCACACTTTAAAAGGTAAAATATTTAGACTCTGGTATGCTGTACAGGTAAAGAAGAATGCTTTGGGGATTTCCAACAGAATGATTTGCCAGTCCTCCAACTCCTCCACCCCTACCCACCCCACACACATACCCTAGATTTCATGACTTTAGAAATTGGTTTGTTTTTAGGTTTCAGTTTCTTGTTCCATTTGAATGGCTTTTATCTTTAGGGGCCCAAGTTTAAAATAATGTCTACTCTTTAATAAATATTTGTCAGATTTTTTCTCTCCTGATTGTTTATCATTAACGTCATCTAGATGTAGCTGTTCCTGAGGCTTAAGCTGTGATGGGTTCCCAAGGACTATAACCACTATATTTAAACATGTCCAGAGACGAAACTCAGCACTAGTAAAGTTTCAAATAATGGTGAATTCAAGGGAAAGGTTAATCCTTGCTCTGGATGGATTAGATGTGCAGACAGTATTTGTCTCACCAGATTTCTTCTCTGTAAATAGCGGGGACATTGTCACGTGCTTTACACTTTCCTGTGCCAAAAGCAGTGCTTTTCACACTGTGTTGAAAGGCCAGTTGGGTTTTTTAAAACTTTCCAATCTTGTGGACCAATGCTTTTATAAAATATAATTTAAAGGAATTTTTAGAAAAATGAAGCAAGAAAAACAACAACAAAAAAGCAAAATAAAAGTCCAGATTTGTCATGACAATATCAAGTTGCTGTAAGAGTTCCTAAATACTTAGTCTCACTTTGGATATTTATTTCATCATAGACCAGTAACAAGATTTGCAGGCTGGTATCAGTCTATGGACTACACTTTGAGAAGCCCTGATCTAAAGTCCCACTTCTCAGCAATTCCAACTCAACCACTTTAATAACAGGGAGAGTGAGTGCATAGAGCTGAAGGCCAAGGATAGGGCTAGCTCTTGAAGTCTCATGTTTTATCTTCATCTTCTGCATTCTGATCTGCTTTATGTATTTGTGCTAATAATACAAATAGCAATCTTTAAAGTTGTCCATTCCCTTTAGGAAAAATATTTAAGCTTTTTTTCTTAAATCTCTAAATGATATTTTAGGTACAGGAAATATGTTTACCTTTAGCTTTGCAATCTTGGTGTAATTGGAAGATGTAAAAGAAGCTTGCAAAATACTCTGTGCCCTTGATATTTTAAAATATCATGACATTCACATAGGAGAAGCCATGACTGAAAGGACTGGTTGCTTACTTGAATGAACTGTTTTGCAAGATGTTTTGCAAGTTTAAGAACTCTGATCTGAGAGGCATTTTTCAGAATGATTTCTTTTTTTTTAAATTCTTTTTTTAAAAATGTATCTTTACTGATTTCAGAGAGGGGGAGGGAGAGGCGAGAGAGAGAGAGAGAAACATCAATGATGAGAGAGTCATTAATCGGCTGCCTCCTGCACTCCCCCTACTGGGGGATCAAGCTGTAACCCAGGCATGCGCCCTGACCTGGAATTGAACCAGTATCTCCTGGATCATAGGTCGATGCTCAACTGCTGAGCCACACTGGCCTGGCTTTTGTTTTTTGGGGGGTTTTTTAAGTCCTCACTCAAGGATATTTTTTCCATTGCTTTTCAGAGGGGGGGGGAGAGAGAGAGAAAGAGAGAGAAAGATAGAGAATCATCGATGTGAGAGAGACACATCAGTTGTTGTCTCCTGCACGCACCCTGACCGGGCAGGGACAACCTGCAACCCAGCTACGTGCCCTTGACTGGGAATCGAGCCCCTGACCTTTCAGTGCCCAGGCCAGTGCTCTAACAACTGAGCAAAACTGGTCAGGACTTTTGTTTTTTGAGTGAAGAAGCTTTTGATCTCTAAGCTTTTTTTTTTTTAAAAAAAGTTTGAGGTACAGTTCACTCATGTAAAGTGTATAATTCAGTGATTTTTCATATGTTTACAGAATCATGCAACTATCACTGCAGTCAATTTTAGAAAATATACATCACCCAAAAAGAAATTCCATACTCCATTTGTCATCCTCCCAACCCCCCACCCTGGCCTTAGGCAACCACCTATCTACTTTATTTACCTTTTCTGGATATTTCATATAAATGGAGGTAGTGTTTTGAAGTCCATTTGACTTGAAAGAGCCAGTGCAATGTAGTAGTGGTCCAAGAGCATCAGCTGTAGAGTTAGACTTCTTGGGTTTAAATTCTTGCTCTGCCATTTAACAGATTTATGTCTTTGGATGATTACATAACCTTTCTGTGTTTTGGTTTACTCCTCATATAGGAAAAATAATGGGACCTACCTGAGAAGCATGAAGACCAAATGAATTAATGTATCTAAAGCATTTAGAACAGTGCCTGGCACAGAGTAAGCACTCAATAAATATTAGTGCTCAACTCATATGTTGGAAGGAAAAAAATTACTTCTTCAAAATAATGAAAATAATTTTCACCCAAGATTCTATTTGATTTCTGTTATAAGAATTTAGTTATTTGGAAAAAGATGGTGGGGGAAGGTTACAGAAATTTCCTTGGTTTAAAGAGTGTCGGGTTATTAGTTCAGTTTTCTAGGCTAATAAAGATTGTGTTAGATTAATTAAAATGGAATGTTTCCTAGAGCTATGGGGTCTTAATGGGCAGATTTGCTGTTTCTTTAACACTTGGTATTTAATCATGGGAAAGGGTTTATGTTGCTCTTGATCAAGAACTCACATTAAGGTGTATTTTCCTTAGAGAGCTGTCATTTAATCTTAAAACTTGTGTAAGTTCATCTTTATACCTTGGTTAATATAAAGAAAAAAATCATTTCCATTAATATGTTCTCTCACTTTGATGCTGTAATCAGAAAGCTGTGACACACAGCATAACTTTTAGGTCTATTTGGAGCTTTGTAGATCTTTAGTTTTCTTAGTGAATATATTGGGTAGGATGCTTGATGCTTGAAATTCAGTACAGTTGTAGGCCTGCTGTGGACTTTTATTTTAGAATCATTGAATATAACTGCTGGAAGTGACTTTAAGTGATTATCCTATGGTACTCCTTACTTTTGTTAAGGAAATTGTGAACCTTAGGTTAAGTGACTTCTAGAAGGCTAATTATTGACAGACCTTCAACTAGATCCCATTGATTGTGGCTTCTCTTTCCTTAGATCATAACGTTTTTCTCATGACCACACTCATTATGTTACTTATTTAGAACTGCAGTCTCTTGTTATATTGACAAACTGAATGGGTCATACTGATAATTTAGATTTATTTTTGATGAGGTTGTAGGGTATCATGATTGCCCTGCCCTTTCTAAGGTATCGTTTTCTGCAAGGCAAATGTGAAAAATCTGGTTGCCAATCTGTAATGCCTCCTTTCCTATGATGACGGATAATGGCGGGGCCAGGATGGAGAACTAAGGTTCTCAACAAGGCCAGATAAGGAATTGATGTTTCTTTAGTAACCTTTCATATGTGAATGGACAGATCCTTGAAACATAAAATGGAAACCATTTACTTCAGTTCACAAGGACACTATTAAAGCCTTTTTAACCTGGTAAACTAGTTTCCTGACCAGTTCTGTACAGCTTGTGGGTGCAGCTGGTCACTGGAAAGTTCTCACAACATGCCTGTGATTTGGGAATGGAGCCAGGTGGGTAGGGATTTAAGGCTATGGGAGTGTCATTACTTCCCTTTCACAAATCTTAGCATTTCTTATATTTTCCAGATATTATAATATCTCTTAAAATCCATTGCATTTCCCTGTTCTATCTTGTTAAGGTCTCAGAGAAATTAGTGTGTACTTCTCAGTGGATCTTTTTCTTTTTTTCTTTCTTTCTTTTTCTTTCCTTTTTTTTTTTTTTTTTTACGATAAGTGTCTTCTAAAAAACAAAATTAAGCTATGAGTATGTAAATCTGTTGAACTAAAACAATGCTGTGTTTTCCTTTTTTTTTTTATTTGGTTAATCCTCACCTGAGGATATTTTTTCTGTTGCTTTTTCAGGGAAAGTAGAAGGTGGAGAGAGAAAGAGATAGAGAAACACCGATGTGAGAGAGCCACATGGACTGGTTGCCTCCTACATGCACCCAGACCGGGCATGGAGATCAAACTCACAACCCTAGGTGTGTGCCCAGACAGGGAATTGAACCCACAATCTTTTGGTGGACAGTGTTCCAACCAACTGAGCCACACTGGCCAGGGCACTGAGTTGCTTTTTTAAAAACTTAAACATATTGGGGCTCTGGCCAGATGAAGGTTTTTCTGGTGTTAGGTTTTTCTGCACCTCCTTTTTTCTCCTATTTGGACTTGCTCTGGAGAATAACCAGTGTATGTACCATGCAGCCTTTCTGTTCCTGGCCAGAGTCAAGTCAACTGCAGTTGATAATAATCTACCTATGGCCCCTGAAGAAATATCTCTGGGAGATCAGTGTCCTGTAATCTCAGTGTATCAAGGATTTTGAGTTTTGATATCATCCTACTGATTGTAACATTAGGATTGAGGTCCAGGGAACCGTCTCCTTTTTATATCTGAAATCATTTTTATGTCAGTGTTTTGAAGTTTCAGTGCCTGTGCCCTGTGCTGTCCCCTACCATCTAGCTCTTGTAAGAATAAGCATAGGAGCCCGGCCTGGTGTGGCTCAGTGGTGGAGCATTGACCTAGGATCCAGGAGATCGAAGTTAGATTCCCGGTCAGGGCACATGCCCAGGTTGCGGGCTCAATCCCCAGTCG